CCCCAAAACCCCAAAACCCCAAAACCCCAAAACCCCAAAACCCCAAGATCTATATACTTAAGTTAAAAGAATTAATTACTGGTATATAATTAATTATTAATGGATAGTAGATTAAAATTTGTCAATAGGCTCGTGAGAGTTTAAAAGAATCTTATTCAAAGTGCTTCTTCTTAATATAACTTTGGCACTGCTGTGATGCAAATTAAAAATAAATTCATTGTATAGGCTCTAGTTGAAAACAGAAAGATTCAAAATAAAGATTACAGCTTATTGATTTATCAAAATAGAAGATAGTTCTCCGAAATGACTTAAAAGGAAGAAACAGATACTTAAGTACAAATATAAGAATAAGAAGAAGAAATAAAGAAAAATAAGGAAGATAAATATGTGAAGTAAGAGCCTGTCGTTAGATTAGATAGACTATCCTAAAAGAAAATGGACTTGATAAAATAATACAATGGCAAAAATATTAGAGATCTGTAGGCATATGAAAGAGCCTTGTTGCTGTATTCGATCACTTCATTTGGAGACATCAGCTAATATGAGAAGAAAATAAAGGAAATAGTTAAGGACTTTACTTTGTATCCTACTGATTATAGCTACATTGATACAATTCTTTTAGGAACATCAGTTGTGAAAAAATTAATTGAACAACCAATCGAACTTAGAGGATTATTAAAAGCAAAAACAGAAAGCTGCATAAAGTAATGCCAAATATAAGAGTATTTCTACGATAATGAAGATAAGGATAAAGTTAGATTCCTTTCTTCAAATCTAATTCATATTACCTATACAACGATGCAAGCTGTTTTTAAGTATCATAGTCCAGAGTATAAAAGATAAATAATATCTAACCCTCAATCATATTTGGATGAGCTTAAATTCCTTGAATCGTATGATGGTAAAGATGGACTCATTAATTGTCAAATAATAGCATCACTGACTAGTCTTTGTATTTTAGCTCATTCTGGGAAATTGTAATAAAGAATTTTCATAAGTATCAATGATCTATTTTCAAAGTATGAAGGAGCCTCTTTTGATTTAACATCACAAATTCTAAATATCTAATCTTAAATTACAGGCGGGAGAGCAGTAAATTATCTTGAATTAAAAAATCTAAAGAATCTAGTTTCAGAAACTGATTTTAGCTCTTCACCTCATTAAGTTTTCTTGTTAAAACTGATATACTTATTGGCAGGCTAAAAACGATATTAACATAGGACTGCAGAAACTAAGTTTATGCATTAAGTAATTGATTCTTATGTTAATAAAAAAGTAATCAAGCTGAACGCTTAGGTTCTTGAAGATTTTGGATTGGAATATAGGGACTCTATTTTGGCCTAGTTGATCGAAATATAGAGGGTAATACTTTTTACATTCTCTAAAAATGATTACAACTTCTAAACTGCATGCAAAATATATACAAACCTTGAGGATTACACTAAAGGATTCGAGAATATGCATCCCACTGATCTTGGATAATTGCTTCTAAATCTAATTGAGATCAAGAAGCAGTCAGTTCTTAATATAAAAGTTAAGTTAAACTTAAATTAGGAGATAAGTTATATAACAGAACTATGCGGACAATGTGCTGATAGAATTCACTATCCGATCCTAGATTAAATTGTACAAGAACTAAGATAAATGGGCATTGAAAGCGAATAGCTCATTAAAGTTCATGATGTTAGATTGAAGACTAATCAGCTTCCATTGGAATACATTTGAGCTTGAGAGTTTTTATTCAATCATTGTTTTAAGTTTGCGCTTACTTAATTAACAATTATTAAAAAAAAGATTTACTAATTTTCATCAAAGTCAATTTAAGGGGTTTTGGGGTTTTGGGGTTTTGGGG